CGGGGATAAGATGTGCAAGAAATTTTTATGTAGTTTGTGGCAGAAACGTAAAGAGCTCCCAAATGTTGGTGGTGTCTCTAGTAGGGGTAGGAACGGTGCTCCGTCTCGAAAGGGACGCGTGGTCAATGGTCAAATGACTACGGCAAGCAACAAATGAGTACGCCCCCCCCCCTCTTGTGGACAATACAATACAAGGTGACCTCCTGTCTCAGTGGGAAATCATGCGCACGCAACTCTTTGGTACGGGGGGAGCGACAGTCAGCGGTCTCTTCAGCGCCGGACCCGTCGGGCAGCGCCGCCTCTCCTCGCCCCGCCCCACAATCTCGCCATCCGATTATTCTCAAAACGCTGTCGGCGACGGGGCCACGACTAGTGCCGTTGGGAGGGATAGCAACCAACCGCCGCTCGACCGGCGAGAATCGTCCCGCAGGCCCGAAGAGATTGCCAAGGGTGCCGTGTCTGGGTTTGGTGGGGAGTGGGGTAAGGCCGTCTTGCGGAGCCCCGTGCTGGCCTCCGTCGCGGAGTCGCTGGCCCCCGCGCGCAGCACTCACGAGATGAGTGACTTCATGACCAAGATGAAAGGGTGAGTGGCGAGGATGCTGGGAAGAGTTTTGTTGACGGAAATGGCTGAGGAAGCATCATGACGGCGACGTACGTGGCTGCGAGACCCATGCGCGGACAGCCGTTGAATCAGACCAATCTGGAAGTAGGGGTGGGGGGGCTGTCAGGTGTTTTCCCTCTGCCCTTGGTTTTGATACATACGGCTGTACCGTCAAATGCGGGGGGTGTTCAGCAGGGTTCGTCAGTCATTGATTGTCTTCTTTTCGTACTCTGCCTCAATTTCGACGATCGCATCGCCTCTCTGATGACCCGCTGGAACGTGCTTTGCAGCATTTCACATCGCACTCGACTTGTTGCGCTCTGTGTGACCGACCATTCGAAAATACCCCCCACGTTGTTTCGTTGTTTGGTCGCGCGTTCTCTTTTTTTTCTTGGGGGCAACGCAATATGAACGTGCAGGGTGGAGTTTCCCCGTGACCCAATGAGAGAACCGGGGCCTGACGAGCACATGCGGCAGGCTGGGGGGTTCCAGCGGCTGATGGCCGCAACAACGTTCGAGAGTCCCTTCGCCAAGAAGAACAAGAAGAAACTGGGCATCGACTATAGCCCGCTAGAACTAGACGAGGTGCGTCCCTTGCCTTTACTCGAATTGTGGTTAGTTATTGCCGGTATCGCCGTAGAGTGATGGGGTTATTTACTGTTTTCTCTCAAGTATGTAGGTGCCGTTGTTTTTGTACGTACGCATATGAAAGACTTTTCGATTTGCTTGCGTTGCGTTGCTCGGCTCGGTTAGCCTCTACCAGTATTAAGTACTTGGAATCGAAAAGCTGTTGCAGCAAAGGGAAGGGAACGATACTTGCAGAGTACAGTACCACGTGCAAGATTTAGGTAACGCCTAACCATGCAGACGTTGCCCAAGGAAGGACTGTTTTTTGTACTGTTAACATGTGTGTTCATTGTTTTAACACCAAGCCAAGCCGGTGCACGTTCGCGACGCATGCAACCCCCCCCCGCGCCCCTCCCTCTCTCCCTCCGCTATGTGAAATTTTGACACCACGCGAAACAACACCACAGGCGGCGAACGAGTCTGCGGTTTTGGACATGGAGGACGAAGAAGACGAGGCAGCAGCAAATGCTAAGAACGACAAAAACGCCGCTGGAACAAAGGTAGGAAAAGGTGTTTCCCATGCCCGCCAGCGATCTGTACCATGGTATCGATCACACCCGAGAGAACATTGTTTGATGCGAGCTTTGCTGCATAATGTGAACACGTTTGGATACAACGCATCAAGCGAATGAGCCCTGAGGTTGCGCACACGTGTGGTATGGTATGGTTTCTTTTCAGGCTGCTAGCACTGCGGCATGATGGTAACCGCGTGCCGCGAGTCTTCTTTTTGTTGTAGCGTTTAGACTGAGTTTGTGCGGCCCGGTCGTGGAACCCCCGCATGCATACTTTGCTTTCAGAAACACCGGTATTTTTGTGGAAGACACGTTATGTAGCTTTGCACGTCGCCATGCGATCATCGCTCGCACGATGTTTCATCAAGAAGCACTCGTTCCCGCTGCCAGCACGCCCTGCAGTCGCTCGAACGACCTTCCCCTCACGCCCGCTCTCTCCCGTCGCAATCGCTCCTCACGCCAGGTGGGCGACAACCAAGCCCCCGACAATCCTGCACCCGGCGCCTCCGCTGCCGCCGACAGTAGTTCCTCTGCGGCGGGGGGAGGAAACGATGAGGCGACCTCCTCCTCCTCCTCCTTTTCCTCCTCCCCGTCTTCCGGGGGTACGGCAGACGGGAACCAACCCGGCGGTGGCGCCGGAGGGGGAGGCATGAAACGCATGTCGAGCTTCACGCGGAAGATGCTCCCCAAGCTCGTGGCCACGCGAGGGAGGCACAAGATGGGCAGGGACAGGGGGCAGCCGGCGGCGGCGGCGGCCGCGGCGGCTGGTGCTGCTGCCAGGCGGGGTGACGCAGCGGGGGCGAACGGGTCTACCGGCCACCAACGGCCTCCGGACGTGCCGCCGCCGCCGCCGACACCGGGGACGGCGGCAACAGCAGGCGTCAAAAGCGCAAGGGACCTTGAGATGGAACAGCAGCAGCGTCGAAGAGAGGACCTGGACTTGGTGCCGCCCATGTCTCCGGCTCTCGCGGTGCCGCGCACGCCCGACTGCTCACCGCCCGCTTCCCCGGCGTACCACGAAGCCGAGCCCGTCTTCGAGGAAGACTCTCGCTACGAAGCCGGCGTGGAGAAGGGCGAGGTTGCGGCGTCGAAAAAAAGTGATCCTTCCCCTTCTTCCCCTGTGTCGGCCATGGAGGAGGAGAAGGAGGAGGAGGAAGAGGAAGAGGAAGAGGCGGGGGGGATAGAACCGTCAGATGGTAACCTTGCTACGGCTCCCGCCCCCGCCGCCCCTGCCCCCGCCGCCCCTGCCCCGGCCGTCCCCGCCCCCGCCTCGAGCAGCACTACCGGTACGAGCGTCTCGAGTCACGACAACGGTCGGCCAGCAAGTGCAGACAACGGTACGAACGGGTACTCGGCTTCGTTTGAGAAGACGCCCCAAGCTATCGCTATCGCTGGCATCCCGGCCCCATCGGCGGCGGTGGCGGCAGCGGTAGCGGCGGCGGCGGCGGCAGCGGCGGCGGCGGCCAAGGCGGCGGCAGCGGCGGCGGCAGCACCCAAGCCTGCGCACGCGGAGAGCAACGGGAGCGGCGCAGGAGAACCAGAGCCGGTGCCAGTGCCAGTGCCAGTGCCCCGAGCACCGGTGACTCCGAAGCCACAGACGCCGACCCCTCCCCGGCCTCGACCGCCGCCTCCGAGACCGCCGCCGCCGAAGCCCTCGCCTTCTTCTGCTACAGCCACATCGCCGCCACTCACATCAAAAGGGCCAGCTGCAACCACAGCAGGGCCAAGCTTTGCTCCCACCAAGTCTCCGGCTACGCAGGCCCGACAGGCACCGCCCAAGCCGCGCCCGCCGCCCCCGAGACAGCCTCCACCGTCTGCTCCGGCGGCGGCGGCGGCGGCGGCGGCGGCAGCTGCTACCGCTACCACCGCTGACGCGGCGGACACTCGAGCCGCGACGTTTACACCGACTACGTCGCCGGCTGCCAAGTTTACTCCCACCGCCTCCCCGGCGACGTTCACGCCCACCGCTTCTCCGGCTACCTTTACCCCGACAGCATCTCCTGCGACTCGTAACGTGGGGGGTGCACCGGCGTTTGCACTTACGTCGTCTCCGGCGTCTAGGGCCAATGTCGGTTCTCCTTCGGCGTCGGGGACTCCGCAAAATTCGGCGTTACCGTTTACGAGGGGTCCTATCCCTAGCAACGGCGCCGCAGGGGAAGAGAGGGGCGGGAGACTAGGTTCTGGTTCTGGTTCTGGTTCGGGATCGGGTTCGTCTTCGTCTGCCGGTGTGACTGCGGGGAGACCTTTGGTGGGCTCTAGCGAGGTGAGTGAAGAAACAGGAAGGGGCCAGGTCAGGTGCCGTCCTGCACGGCAACATTGTTGTTGGTTGTTGCCCTTGGTATGGTTCTCTAGGCGCGCCAATTTTCAGCACTAATCATACCTGGTACTGTAGTGCTGTGTTACTGGACAAGCAAGCGTGTGTTGTGGTATGGGAGGTTGGCTCGTATGTAGGGTATGAGACGGATGGAATTGTGGTCGTTGTCGACCAACGGAAGCTGCGTGAAGCCTCCGGATTCGACATGTAGAAGTAGACCCCGTGGGCGTTGACTGAAGCTCCTCTATGTTAATGGCAGCATGCGCACGCTCAACAACGCCTATTTTATTTTCTGCACGGTTGCGTTGTTGTGTACGCGAGAGAGTTGGAAGGGGCACCAACTGTGGCTGGGCTTCCCGCGATCTACATCCAGTACCTGGAGTAAACCGTGGCTTTCCGGCTGCTGCACGCTTTGTAGTACCTCCTTCGTGGGAAAACCTTCCTCGTCCCAATCTAGACATGACATGACACGAAAGAGCAAGATTTGATTTCGCAATACTGTACGAGGCGGAGAGGAGGGAGGTCATGGAAACATCCGAGTTGATCGACGAGCCTGACCCCAACTGCCCCCATGCTGCCTGGTGGAAATTTTTTCGCCACCCGGTTTCTGATGCAGCAACAGCAGCAGCAGCGACTAGCGGGGGGGATCGGACATATTGGGAACGCCAATGGCGGCGAAAGAGGCGTTGGTACGGCACCGGGGGCTGGATCGATGGGTACCAGAGGTTCGGCGGAGGAGACGAGGGCAAGAAAACGCCCACGGGAAGAGCAAGAACAGAAGGTACGTGGTACAAGCGTAGTTGTACTAAGGCGCGCACGCTTGTACCATCATGGTTGATCATGAGTACAAGCAGACTATGCATGCATACAGGCTGCTGACTGCCGTCAACAACCAGCGTTGTTCTTTCATGTTCTTTCATGTTGTTTCATGTTGTTTCATGTTGTTTTTGCCGAAATGCTGTGCGTTACCTATCTCACCTCAGACCTCACGTCAGTCAAGGTGTCCCGTGTACACCCACAACCCACACTAATGTCTACACTAATGTCAACAATTTGGTTTCGTCCCAGGTAAAAAAAAAGAATAGACACGTCTTCGATACACATGAGAATAATTTACCTTGTAGGTCTAGGGACGTGTCGCTGTTCGCTACTCGCTGCAAGACATCGGTATTCCCGGGGGTTCTCTGTACGTGGACGATGCGAAATCCAGGTACAAAGACGGTGTTTTTGATACTTGGAAACATAAATACAAACACATAAAAAGACTTGACCCACTGACGTAGGCATACGTACTTTGTTGTGTCCTTCCACAGACACTGAGTCCGCACGACTATGTTCTCCCCGATGGATGGATGGTGGCACGCTCGAAGAGAGAAAACCGGGACTACTTCTTCAACAGGCGGAACAATTCCACACAGTGGCATCCCCCCGAAGGCAGTCGGCGAAGAAATGCGTAGCATCTTGGGCGAAGAGTGGAGCAGCACCCCCCCCCCTGCTGTTGTCGACATTAACAAGAAGTTTTTTTGTGCTGGCGGGCGGTGGCGCCGGGGATGAAAGTATGTCGGATACTACTCATGTGCTGGTGCTACGGGTTGCTGACTTGTACAGTCGGGCCAAGCATGCGAATGTAGTTTTGAGGTTTTGGCGGGAGATCTTGGATCGATCGATCGGTAGGGTGCCCAAGGACTAGCATGCCTCGCTTCCCTCATGTAACTAACGCGGTGCGAGGAGCCTGCAGCGGTGAAGCTTGAAGTTTGTTGCTGACTTTTTGGTGTTTCATGTCTATGCCCTGTCAAGGTGACCATCACGTCAAGGGCCAACGAAGCTGAACCTGCTCAGACTGCCATTTTTCCCCTTCCTGTCGTCGAGCGCCCTCTATCTCGCAAGATAGGCGTTCGGGACGGACTAGGTTCTTGTCAGTTGTGGTGTATGTGCGCCTCGTTCTCTGCAGGCAGTCGTTTGCGTACGTGCAGGTGTTGTCCAAGGAAGGTGTTTCATTGCTACGCTGCGAATACTCAATACTCATGTTTACACGTCGCTGCTTAAAATAGTGCTAAAAACGTTCCCTAACCCGTGTACAGCTCTCGAAATGGTGGTAGCACGTAGCCGCAGAGAGGTCTTCAGAGCGAGTCTTACGAGACCTGTCTTGTCTAATGTGTAGAGTTTGGTGAACGTGAGTTTCGGAGGTATGGCTGAGGGGTAGAGAATCGAGGGCTTGCCGGTGGTCGGAAGTGTGTTTGGGACTACAAAGCTTAAGCATTCCAACGTTCCTTCCGAGACACACACGCACATCGTCCGGTGGCCGACTTTGGTGATGAAGGACGATTGATGTGTCAAGTATGAACAGCAGTGTTGCCTACAGGCAAACACGTAAGTGTTGCTTTCTGCTCCTTTCTTTCCTTCAAGAGCAGGAGACAAGATTAGTGTCACCACCGCCATCCTCAACGAACGAAGATCCCGAGAAGCTTCATCGTAACGGTCGGTCGTGGAACGGCGTCACTGGCAAGCAAGAGAAAGATAAATTGATACCTGGTGACTTGCATCCAGTACCATGACCAACCCTTCGCCTGTACACAAAACACGTACACAATCAACATGTACTGTAGATAGACGTCAAGGGACGCCATCTTTGGTTTGTTGTTGTTTCTCACATTAGCTCTAATAGTCCGGGAAGCCCGTGGTCTCAAAACCCGGCACGTTAGACGCCGCGGGGAAACAAAACAAAAAAAGGGTACAAACTATTCGGAAGAGAAAACAAACTGATAAAAAGGAAATAACAGGTACCGCACCGACCGTTCGAGAATAGAGCCCTCGAAAACCGATCAAAATTAAACAAAATAAATATAAAGGAGGACGCTTCCCACTTGGTGCCATGCATGGTTTATTAACGTGTGCTTGCTACGCAAAGCTGAAAATATGGTTTCATTCCATCACCTCTTCCTCCGCGCAAGCTTCGTTTCGACTCCCGAGTATACTATACACGACAATCAATCCCCATCGGCACTCCTCCTCGTCAGCCCACACTAGATTCGGTTGCAGATGAAACAGTCCAAAACTTCGTGAACAAAATTGCTGGGGCTATGCATATCGGCGGGCCCGCGAATTTTGCCACCGCCGTCATTGCAATCAAATAAGTACTTCCTCAACAGCAGTACGCAAGTGTTCTTCGTGACCAACGAGTCTCGAGGAATGCGTCCGTGGCGGGCCGAGCTCTCAAGTCGCCACTGCTCTTCATCATCGGGAGCTCCCTGTGGCAAGACCCACTTTGGTATATAAGGAAAAACCTACATGGTTGACTCTTCATCTCTTCACGTGTCAAAGGACAAGGGGACAAGTAACTATGAGGTGGGTGCGCCTACCCTACGAAAAATTGTCTTCCGTGCTCTTCTTCCACGAACAGACAAAATGAAATCAACGACGAAGCGCGCACGCCTACCTCCCTGGGAGACAAATGGGTTAAGTATGCTCGCAAGAAGCAGCAGGAGCATCACTCTTCGCATGAAGAGAAAACGACGCCCCTCGATAACTCTCTCTGCTCGTGCCCGTGTGCGATTATCGCCTGCATTGCATTTGATGAGATTGACCTCTCTCAGCATGCACTCTGAAACGGTTATTCCCAAATGAAACGTCTCTATTGTGCTTCCAATACTTACACACCCGGCCGTTGCCTGCTTACATAGACAACCTCAGCAGGACAACCCACGAAGGACAACAGAGGGGCAAGCAAACAAGGAAGCCATCTTCTGCAAAACACAACTTCCGCAGTATATCGCACCACTGAGCTTTTGCCGGCACTCCTAGCCCTAGGCAGCAAAGCAAACGGTGCCTTGACTGAAAAAACATCCACCCCGAATACAAGAACACGGAAACTGGAAAACGGTTACAACAACAGACACCTGTGCATACGTACACGCCTGCGTTTCTCGACGGAATGGTTCACCAAACGAGAAACGGCCTATCCTAGAAACTGATGTGAGCAGCAGCAGCAGCAGCAGCGAACGAACGAGCAGAAGTGATCGTCATTGAGCCGCCTTGTTGCTGTAGTCGCCCCCCATCAAGATGAGACTCTGAACCGCATTCTGGACGTCGTCTCCGAACTCCGTTCTTCCCGCCGAAGTGCTTTCTTCGGACACACCGTCAACATCCCTGTCACCGTCCTCGCTGCTGTTGCCGCAATCCCGGTACGAATCCCTCCCTTCCGGCGCGTTCACGCCGCCGCCGCCATCCCCATCTCCCCACTTGCTCGAGCCTTCGTTGTTCCAGCCCTCCCCGGTTGAGTCAGCTTCGTTGCTGCAGGAGACGCTCCCTTCGTGGGTGGTAAAACCTCCCGTGTCTCCCCCGGTGGAAGAGTTGTCCTCGCCACACTTGTCCGCGCCGCCACCGCCTCCGCCGCCGCTCAGCTCTTCGTCCATGCGATTGCTGAGGCTCACGCGTTGCCGTTTCTTCGAGAGCGACCGCTCTTCCCTGCCAACCGCGGGGTCAGCCGCCTCCGCCTCCGCCTCCGCCGCCCCGGCCATCTTCGGAGTGCCGGTCGCCTCGGGCTCCTGCTTGACGCTTGCACCGCTGAAGCCCCGAGGGCTTGGTGTAACAACGGCGCGTTTTCCCTTGCCCCCCCCCCCCCTCGTGCCCGAATCGTTCCCACTGCCGCTGTTGTTGCTGTCTTCTTCTGCCGCTTCCACCTCGCACTGGTAGCCGTCGTCGTCTGCCTCAACGTACTCCTCTTCCGCGTCTTCCTCTCGATCCGCATCGTCTGCATCCGCCGGCGCCGGCGCCGGCGCCCCCATACCAGCACACGCCTTCCCCGCCGACGCTGAGGAGGGGCCCGTTGCCATGGAAAGCTGGCCGCCCGCGAACTCGCGCGCTACGGCCGTCTTTCCGCCCTCCGCTACCGTGCGAAGGGTGAGGACGATCTCCAGCGGGACGGGGGCGGCCGTGCTGTAGCCATCGTGGCTCTTGGCGTTCCGCACGCTCAGCCGGCCTTCGCACCACACCGTGGTCTTATCGCCGCGGAAAACTCTGAGCATCTTCATCTTCGGCGGCCCTTGCAACGACGACGACGTCGGAGCGCCCCCCCCCCTGCCCCCGTTTCCAATTCCGCCGCATTCCCCCGGCTGAGACTGCGGCTGTCGACACCGCTGCTGGGGACGTTCCCTGTGGTTCCCCCCCTTTTTCTCGCGGCATTGCGGCTCGCCGTCTCCAGCGGTCGCATCGGCGCCCCCCCCCACCCCGTCTCCATCCGCAGAGCCCTCGCCTTGCAAGGATTTAGCCGAAGACCAGCTCCCCGCCGCCCGCCGCCCCGCCGCCGCCGCCCCACCGCCGATGGACTTGACTGGACGCGACAGGTTGTCCGAGATGATCTTGCGCAGCAGCGGGTGGCACTCTGGCGCGACGAGCTCGAAGATGTTTGCGCCGGTCATGTCCTCGGGCGAGTGCAGCAGCAGCCACTGGCAGGCCGGTGAGACGTACGTCATCTCGCCGGTGCGGCACACGGCTAGGACGAGGTCCGGTAGCATCGACAGGACCAGGGCGTGCTGCTTCATCCGCTCGTTCTTGGCGGTCATGTCGTCCACGTACGCCTTCTTTCGCGCGCGGCTCGTGCTCGCGGACTTGCGATTCGCCGCCCGCTTGACGCGGCGTTTCTCGTCCTGGCGCCTGTGCTCCTCGATAATTCGCTGCTAAGACCGAGGCGGGGAGGGGGGGATAGGGTTAGAGAAATTCGTTGCACAACACAGCAGAATTTGTCATGCACGGATAAGAAAGAAAGGTTGAACCGTGCCGCGCGCATCCACAGTTGTTCCGTCAAACTACAATATGCTGACACATCGGGCGGAGTGTTTCACTGCAACTCCCGGATTGACGCCTGGCGGCAGAGTGTGAATCGAGCCCACATTGCCGCACGGGTCAATTTCGGCGAGCTATTCTGCAGCAATTGCTGTTACGGCAAAATACAACAACAGCACAACTTAGTGCTGCAGCAACGCGAACCAGAGTGTTTTTTCCAGCTTGGTGCATCACGTCTCGGATTGTTCCCCTTTTCCCTTGAGTGTGGGGATGCTATGTAGGGTAGCGGAGTACCGCTGTACTGCTGTAGAGGTCGTGACGGATGTGCTTCCAGGGACCAAGGCAACCGGCAAGCAGCACAAGACTACTTATTTGCTTTGTTAGCGCCACCTCATGAGGAGTGCCGACGACTTGGTGGTCCAACTGCCGTGTCGTCTGGAGTGTTGTACTATTACAACTACAGTAATGTATTCTACACGCCGTCACCTCTATGGCATTTGATGTACGTATGGACACCTTCTCTGCATCTCTCTGAAAAGAGAGCGGACGCCCGTGGCCCAAGGCGATCAAAAACACGCCGCAAAAACTTGCCTATTAGACTAAGTGTCCTTCGCAGAAGTCCCACACACATTTACTTCCTGGTACAGAAAAAAAGACTGCAAGAGTTTCAGTGGCACTGCTGTGTACATTGTGTATGTAACGCTTGTCGCAAGACTTGACTGTGATGCCCTCTGCTCGGCTGCCACAGCAATACTGTAGCACACCCCGTGGGTGTACTGTACAATAGTACTCTGATGAATATGCTGGTGAACTTCCATGTGTACCGCCAAGGCCTGAATCGATCCGTCAAATCAGTGTAACACCGGGAAGAAGAAAAATGCCGCCTGCCACCTCACAACGGTGTCGACGTGTCCAAAAAGTCCGGTAACTTCTTTGTACAAATCCACGCACCAACAACTAAGAAAAAAGGACATGTTGTTTCTCGCACAAATCTCACGGCTGTTAAGGACTAAGTAGGGGGGTGCGGCGTGGCCATTGCCTTGTGATCTGTCATTTCTAGATTACTGCTGGTAGGCGCATGGTTTCATATCTTCCGCATTTGTTTTGTTCGCAGTATGTAATCGACACAGCACATCCCTTCTCGCGACAAAAACATCTCAGGCAGGAACCGCAGGAGGGGGGCCAACCCCCCCTGCCATGTGGCCCCGGTTGGGTCGTCTAGCTGGTAGAAGTGGAGGATAGGGGCCAGAGGGGCAGACGACAGAGTCCAATGATGGGAGAAAAACAAACAAACGAACAACAAAATTCGCAACGAATAACAATGTTGTCGTTGTGCACCTGTCATGAGACACGTGAGATGATTTGATGACAAGCATTTTTGTCTTCCAAGAGTAACAGCAACAGCAGCACCCAACGAAAACGATTGCTCTCTCACCGACAGTTCGAAACCTGAGCCGACAACGCTGCTGCTGTCCCCCGTAGAGCTAGCCATTGCGGCGTCCTCAAAACAGAAACCTTTTGGGTGCACACATGGGGGAAGTTTGACACGAGGACCAGATTGGCGGCTGCTGTTTCAGACCCAGCACGAGGCGGCCTGCCCAATTCTGAGGGGAAGAAGGTGAAGCTGAAAAAATGACGTGATCTTTGAAAAATCTACTGTCCTCACTGTGAGTGGTCTGTCGACGCAGTTGCGGGGGCCTCTCGCTTGCTCTGCACGGCGGAGTGGGTTGCCTTGGCCTTGTTAACCGCTGATATGCTACCATACCAACCGCAGAAGGAGCCGGGGTGAGAGAAGCGGGTAGAAGTTATAACCTCGCCAACGCCGGGTGGAGAAAGAAATAAAAACCAAGGTCGGGAGCTCACCCTCTTTCCCTCTCTGTCGAGCGGGCGAGGTGTGTAACGAGGTCCCTGGGGGATGGCCTCGTGCTGAGTATGGCGTGATCACGCGTGTGCGAAGCTGAGGGTGGGCGTGGAAGGTCCTCACCTAGCCTATGTGGGTCCGACTTAGCTGCTTGACATACGGGTCGGGGTGAGGTGTGACAGCTCAGGCCAAGAGGCCAGCACAGACCAGCCGGGAGAGTATGTGCTGACGTAGCAGGCTGTTCGAGCTTCCCGGGCTATTGGATCCTTGATGTTGAACGGAAATATTACTCTTCGGAACTTGAGTCCTCGAACATACTCAGCACAACATAATATGCATACCAAACTGAAAATACGTTTGTAAACTGATGGAGATTGCATGTCCTACAACTAACAGGGTGCGACACACAAAACGCCCGACTAACCAACAGCACCCAACATCATCCGTCTGCACCTTCCCAACATAACATATATGAAACACGCAAGACAGCTACCAAACTGATTTCTTGAGCCGCAGGGGAGATGTCCCTATATAATATAGTCTAGTGCCGGCCCGCACTTAAGAATATGGCAATTAAGAATTTACCGATAAGAACTCGTGCTCAGCTGCACGCCCTGTTAGGAGCAAGAACACACACCTGAGGTGCGAAACTGCTGCTACAAATAAAAACGACAGCAATGCAGCGGCCGCCAGATAAGAATACTCGCAAGGGGAGGGAGGGAAGAGGGGGGAGTGATCCCAGAGTACAGAGTATTGGATTTGGGAGGGGTACATGCCCCACATATTATCGACATTTGTATTTTTTTGGAGGGGGAGGGTGGGCATTGTACGCACGCGTGGTGCCCCTGGGTGCCCCAAAGAAAAGCGTAATGCGCGGGCGGGGTGAGCTCCCCAAAGCGAGGTCCATTCTTATCATGGACAACTTGCATGCGCAGACCACGGACGAGTTCAAGGAGTATCTTGCGAAGCACTGCAACACTNTTTATCATGGACAACTTGCACGCGCAGACCACGGACGAGTTCAAGGAGTATCTTGCGAAGCACTGCAACACTCTCGCCTGGTATGGCCCTTCGGAGTGCACGGACGAGGTGCAGCCAGTTGATGCAGGAGCCGGACGATTTCTCAAGGTGGAAGTCGGAGGTAGATGGACATATGGCTCGAGCAGTCGGAAAACCTCGAGAGGTGAGAAGCCGCGTCGCTGACAGCTTCTGATCGGCGCGTCCTGGTCACTCAGTGGATGGGAGCGGCCATGGCAAGACTCAACAGCCAACAGGCGTACCGATACCGTCTTTTCGAAAAGTGCGGGATGGCCATGACCGTGGACGGCTCGGGCGATGATCGAATCACCTCGGAGGGTTTGGACAAGCCGTAGACTAGACTATACCTTCGCGAACGATGAAGACAGTAGCGACGACGAACAAGGCTCGGAGAACGGCAACGATGAGCCTGAGGGGCGGGCGGAGGAGG